GATCCGCTGAGACAGCCAGGATCTGTAAATACAGCTGGGATCTGCTGATAAATAAATCCAGGATCCATAAATACAGTGGGGAATCCATGAATGCAGTGATCAACCTCAGCCAGGGACCTGCTAATAAATACAGCAGGGATCCATAAACACAGCCAGGGATCCACTGATAAATAAATACAGCCTGGGACCTGATAATAAATACAGCAGGGAGCCATAAACACAGCCAGGGATCCACTGATAAATAAATACAGCCAATAGAGCCAGGGATCCACTGTACAGCAATCAACCCCAGCCGGGGGCAGCCGAGCCCTTCTTGGCCTCGGGAGGGGATGGAGCTATGGAGGGGTGAGGGAGGGGATGGAGGGATGAGGGAGGGGATGGAGGGAGGGCTGGGGGATCCATCACACCCCTGCCCTGCTCCAAGTGTGATCCAAGCAGTGGCCCCAAAGCTTTGCTCTGTCAGCCCAAGGATCCTGGGGGTGAAAGCCCCACACCTGAGCACACAGCTCGTGTGTGCTGGACAGGGAGCAGGAGGCTGAGCCCCTGCTCCTGTCCCTGCTCCTGTCCCTGTGCTCCTGTCCCTGTGCTCCTCTTCCTGCTCCTGTCCCTGTGCTCCTGTCCTTGCTCCTGTCCCTGTGCTCCTGTCCCTGTGCTCCTGTCCCTGTGCTCCTGTCCCTGTGCTCTCCTGTCCCTGTGCTCTCCTGTCCCTGCTCCTGTCCCTGTGCTCCTGTCCCTGTGCTCCTGTCCCTGTGCTCTCCTGTCCCTGTGCTCCTGTCCCTGTGCTCTCCTGTCCCTGTGCTCTCCTGTCCCTGTGCTCCTGTCCCTGTGCTCTCCTGTCCCTGTGCTCTCCTGTCCCTGCTCCTGTCCCTGTGCTCCTGTCCCTGTGCTCTCCTGTCCCTGTGCTCTCCTGTCCCTGCTCCTGTCCCTGTGCTCCTGTCCCTGTGCTCCTGTCCCTGTGCTCCTGTCCTTGCGCTCCTGTCCTTGCTCCTGTCCCTGTGCTCCTGTCCCTGCTCCTGTCCCTGTGCTCTCCTGTCCCTGTGCTCCTGTCCCTGTGCTCCTGTCCCTGTGCTCCTGTCCCTGTGCTCCTGTCCCTGTGCTCTCCTGTCCCTGTGCTCCTGTCCCTGTGCTCTCCTGTCCCTGCTCCTGCCCCTGTGCTCCTGTTCCTGTGCTCCTGTCCCTGTGCTCCTGTCCCTGCTCCTGTCCCTGTGCTCCTGTCCTTGTGCTCCTGTCCCTGCTGCAGCCTTGGGGTTAAGGCATGAAGCATTTAAGGAATATTGCTCTCCCAGGCAGCAGGACACAGCATGAGCCCCTGGGCAGCCTGGCCTGGCTCCCTGCCTGCACCCCTGACCCCTCCAGGTAATTCCAACCATTTAGTGAAGGAAACACCCCGTTCCCTCCAGCACACCCGGCGTTAATCGGGATGCACCCCTCCATCCTCCAGCTCCTGAGATGCCTCAGTCTGCCATGAGGCTAAAGAAGGATAAAAGGTTCCCCAATTTCTGTATTTTGAAACACAGAGTAAGCAAAACGGATCAGGCCCCAGAACAATCCTCAATTTTCTGGCACAATAATCGAGTGATTTCATTGTAGCAGAGGTGGATACACAATTTCCTTGTTGCTTATTCTGTCACCTCCCATATTGTGCTTGGGAACCTTCACCAACAGCCCGGCTCCCTCACTGAATGAGCCATAATATTGAAATGTTCGCTAAATTCTGTGTTTCAGCTCCTGTGGCTCTGCTGAAAGGATCCAAAGCCATTCCCTAAGATACAGGACACCCCAAAACTCACAACACCCCCCAACAAGAATGCTCCAGAAGATTAAAAATAAAGGAAAAGCAAATGTTGTGCAACCAAAACACAGACCAATGCTTCCCAAAACATCGATTCTGAAATTCACCCAAGCCTCAAAAGTTTGGCACCATTCATTTTTACAACACCAAACAATGTTGGGGAGGAGGAATTCTGATCCATGAAACTCTTTGTAGAATAATACCTGGTTATTTCTAGTTCCAAGCAAGAATTCAGCAGCTTTTTAATCTATGTTTATTTTGCGATGTCAGTGTCAGAGAGAACCTGATAGCATCTTTATTTACTCCTGGGGTCAGAGCAGTAGTGGCCGGGAAGATGCCAGCCCTGCCACCAGCGGGTTTGGCACATCTGCATCCCCCAGGAGAGCTCAGAGCTGTTCCCCAGGTCCTCACAGGATGCCAGAGCACAAATGCAAGGACTGGAGGCAGCAGTGGGATTCCTGTTGGTGGAATCAGTCACTGTCAAAGCAGTCACTCTTCTGAAGAGACACAAAATTAATTATTTTCAAGATCTTAACATAAAATGATTTTTTTTCCTCAGCTGAGATGTATCCTCCACTCTGGAGAGCCAGGAACACACGGCAGCTCTGGCTTGATTAACACTGCTCAAGGTGAGAACACTCAGCCTCTGCCTTTTGGATTAGCTTGGGGTTTTATTCCACAATCAGAGTTTCCTTAGGGATGTGGAATTACTGACACCCCATCCATAGTCCTGTGCTGAACTCTGGAGAGAAAAACCAGCCTGAAGTGCAGAAATTATCCCAAAAGGCCCAGGCTGACCAATTGCAGAGCAGAGAATGAGCAGCAGCAGGAGCAGGGTTGATATTCCCCAGGTGAACCAAGGGTCACACATTTCAAACAGCACAGAAAGGACAAAACAACCTTTCCTTGAGCTCTGTGTCCTCCAACACCAAAAGGGCCTGGTCCCACACCTCCCCCCAGTGCTGGGGATCCTCCTGCAGTCTGGGGCTTGTTTCAAGTTCCTTTGCAAATACAAACACACTAAAATAGCTTCTTTGCAAACATATGAACTCACTAAAAGAGATTCCCACCACACTGAGCTGCATTGAGAGTCCTGCAAAAGTTTCTGAGCATCTTCTGCTGAGCCCAGGATCCCAGAGACAGAAATGCCCTTTGCACACACAGCCCCCAGCTCAGGGCTGATCCCACCCCACATTCCCAGTGAGGGTCACTGCAGCTTTCACAACCTTTCCTACAACACTTTCAAAGAACCAGGAGTGTTTCTCATCCTCCACGTGAAACAAAACACTACTTTAGGAAAGCAGATTGAGTGGGAGACAAAACTGACAAACCCCCAAGAGCCCACCCCAAAATGGGCCTTAAAACACCTGCACTTCCCAAAGCAGAGGAGATCCACCCCAAAATGTGCTTTAAAACACCTGCACTTCCCAAAGCAGAGGAGATCCAGCACCAGAAATTCACAGTCACCAAAACTCACAGCTCAGAAATTACCAAGCTCCTTTAGCTCCTCTCTCTGAACTTCCCCCATCCCAAGACAAAATACAGGCTTGAAAAGCTGGAATTAGGAAAAAAACCTGGCAGCAACCAAATGAAGAAAAAGTGACTTTTCAGAGCTGGCCAGTCTGAGTAATTAGCTGATCACTAAGTGCTCTGCTGTGTCATTTCATTGATCCTCTCAGGCTCAGTCATTCTCTAATAGCTGGAAGAATTAACAGCCACTTCTACCCAGAAACTGGGTTTAAAACCCCACTGACAGCAACAAAAAATGTCCTTTCACAGGAGAAACCATGCCTTAGCCACCAACACCAACAATCCAGCCCAAAAAGCACCGAAGCCAGTGGCAAACACAGGGTCAAGGGGGGTGCTGAGCATCAGAGAGGGGCACCATGAAAACCTCACCTCGGTGCCCCAAAGGAAACACACCCCTGATGTTCCAGCAGCACTGAAACACAGTTTGTTTCACAGGGTGTTTGAATTTGGGATATTCCCAGGGCTCAGCACCATCCACCACCAGCAGGAGACTCCCAGAGAATGGGAAATGCGAGTGAGGGAGTTTCACAGTCCAGCACCCTCCAGCCACAAAGACACATTGAGACACTTCAGAATAAGGCACAGGAAACCTCATAAATAGGCAATTTCATAATAAATACCCACACAGGGAGCTCCTTCCTAACTGCAGGCAATGCCCTGAAGCACAAAGATTCAGATCTGCATTAGGTACAGTAAATCTACCAGAGAACAATTCAAACATTTATTATTTATATGCTTATCTAACCTCCACTTCAAATGGTATCTCTGGAAATCAAGGTCCAGCTGATTGTGTTCTGCACTGGAAGAACAATCCCCTTCCAGTGGCCACAGACCTGGCCCAAATTATTCATCTTTCACTGGAGTGTTCATGGAAATATCCCCCCCAAACAGCAAACTCCTCAAGGCTGAGGCATTGTGAGGCATTTTCTGGGTTAGAAAATCCCATAAATGGAGAAAGTGTCATGTTTGGACCCAGGAAATAACAAAGCTACAGCCTGGACTGAGCTTTCCAAACAATATTATTGTAATAAGAGCTGACCAAGGCTGGCTGAACAAACCCAGGCAGATTGAAGAGCATGCTGAACACACCCTCCTCAAACGTGAACAGATTCCCAAAAAAGATCTTTCTGTACCTCTTAATTTGTTCTAGGCCAGCAAAGCATAAACCAGGCATTCCTGATATGGGACCCTGGGTGATTATTTACGCAGGAAAGCAGAAATTTCCACACTTTAAAACTTCCAATTTGATTTCTTAGAAGTGTCTAAATTTCAGCTTTGCTGACTAGAATATGTAAATGCTTTTTAGAAATATTTCCAGGGTTGTATATTCAGCCAAGAATTCCTGCTAAAGTTCACAAGCTTTACAAAACTTCCATATTTCCAACAAGCTGTTTAGAAGCAGCACATTATTTACTCAGAGGTGCACCCAGATATCAGAACTCACTGCACAATTTTATTTTCTACTCTTACTTTCCTCCCGTATAAACACTCAGGAAGATGCAGCTTCTCCCTTGCATCCCTTCCACCCCAGCCTCCTACCAGCTGGATTTTAACCTCTCTTCCCTTGTTTCATAGAATTAAAGTTGGAAAAGACCTCCAGAATCATCAAGTCCAACCTTTGAGTGAACACCAGCTCAGGTCAGTGGTGAAGTAGAGTTTAAAAGCCATTTTCACTTACCTTGTCTCTGGATTATAGCCCAGGATGTAGAAAAATGAATCCACTCGTGCCTTGAACTCTCTAGCAGCAAATATGTCAGAGAAATGAGAGATGTTGCACTTCCCTCTGAAAGCAAGAAAGAGGAGAAAACAGCATTAGAATTCTAGCTTGAGAAACAGCTGCTTTAATTAAGTGCCACTGCAATCTGGGTGGAAGCCACAGGCATCCCTGCTCTCATAAATGCCCAAAACATCATAAATACAAGGCTGTTTTAACCAAATCAGGTTCTTCACACAGTGGAAAGGGAAGGAAATGCAGTTACAGTGGCTCAGATGCTGCTCCACAAACATTCCTTAATTCTCCTTCATCCAGCACAGTCCTGAGGAGCCCAAATGCAGCCAGCCCAACCAACAACAGCTCAGAATGCAATCCTGACACTCGTCAGTCTGCAAAGCTGTTACAGTTACATCTTCCCAAATTCTACTGTCCACATGTTGAAGTCAGCTGTCTATTTAGGAAGCTAAATAAAACTTCAGTTTAATAAAAGCTCCAAACAAAAAGCAAAGCTGTGATGTTTTCAGCAAGTGTGCAATCCAAATTCCAAGCAGACAGAAGTTACTTCCTTTTATTTTCAGACGTGAGAGAGTAAAATACACAAAGACTTATTACAGAAAATGAGAAAGAAAAGACACTTAAGGATTTATTAGCTTCTTCTACCCCAGATTGCTAATAACTTTTCTAATACAGCTTGCTGCTGAAGTCATTATCCTTAAGATGAGCATTAAGACTGGCTGTAAGAAGTTGTTTCTCATTTCCTGGAGGGTTTGTTGGGCTCTGGGTGCTGCCCAGCTGCTCAAGCTCTGCCAGTCCCCCAGCCCAGTTTTGCTGCCCCTGAGTCAATGAGAGCAGGAACAGGCAGAGAAATGGGCCAGGCAGCCAGGGCTGGGCCTTTAACCAACCCTGAGCCTCAAACACAGGAATTTCCCTTTTTCACACTGTCAGGCCCTAAGATCCCATCTCTCCTCACTGCTATCTCCTCAGCAGTGTTCCCTGTTATAATGAGGCTGCTCAGGGGCTTAGTGCTCACTGCTCAAGGTTTGCCAGCTCTGTTTAAAATGGAATGAAAAGTGCTGCAGCCACCAGCACAGCGAGAGGAATCCTTGTTTTTTCCTGCAGTGATCCTGCTGGGCAGCCTGGGCACAGAAATGCAGAGCTGGAGGGATGAATCTGCCCCTGGAGAACTCTGCATCCCTCAGGAAAGGCACCCCTGGGCCAGGGCACTGAACCTCAGCTTGCTCCCCCTCCTCATCCTTCCAGGGTAAAGCACTTCCAAAAGGCTCTGAGAGCCCTGCCCTGCACCAGGAGCTCTCACTGGAGAGCAGCTGCAGGAGGGGGGCTGGAAAAAGCCAGGAGGGTGGAAAAAGTCAGGAGGGTGGGTAAATTCAGGAGGCTGGATAAAGTCAGGAGGGTGGATAAAGTCATTGTGGAGGGTGGATAAAGTCAGGGCTGTTTTGGGACAAAATCACCCCTGGGAGTGGAGGCTGCAGAGCTGCCCCTGTGCCTTCCCAACTCCCAGCCCATGCAGACCCAAAGCAGGCCTGGCACTGCCCAGGTCCTGGCAGGCTGTAAAGGTCTGTGAGAGGCCCCACACACAAACACTGAGTGCCAGGCTCGCTCACTAACACTGATTTTCTCCCTGGAGGCTGACGCTGCTTCCCAAGCTTTGTCATTTAGAGACAGAAAATGAGCAGGAGGGGTTTGTTTTGGTATTTCACATTAAATTCACATTTTAAAAGTATTCTGGGGAAAGAGGTTTAGCTTCCTCTCAGTAAGTCACCTGCCAGCTAATAAGCATTTTCCAGATAAGCTGCATTACCAGCATCGACAGCAGCAGCACATCCTGTTCACAGCACTCCAGACCACGAGTTCTGCATTTCACCAGGAAGATTTACCAGAGAGGTGAAAAGCACATGATGTTTACTGCACACTTCCACAGACATCCACAACTACCCTCTAGTTAAATTTTTCCATTGGTTAGAGCAGAATATTGGTAGTTACAATCACTGCTTTTATTCCCCAGTTTGTCATCAATTCATCGTGTGTCCAGAGCCATTTGTTTGCAGAGGGCAGAGAAATAATCTCATATTATAATAAATTAGAATTTCATGTTAACCTTTCATGCATCACGACACATTCTGCCTCCCCCATGTTCTCTGCAAGAACACCATGTGCAATTATCCTTCTGCTCATCTCGTACACTCAGAGGTTATTTTTCCGGTTTGTTCGGCACACACGTATATTCCGTTTTTATCTTTCCGTTTCTATCTTTTCTTTAAAGGGAAAAAAAGAACTGCAAGGATGCAGCAGGGGACTTAGAACAGTCCCAGGGAAAACTGCAGCCACAGAGTTGAGTTTCTGTGTTTGAGCAATTTCCATCAGGACAGCCAAGCTCCCGATTTCAAGCTGGAAGGACTCAGCAGAGGAGCTGTGGAATTCCAGGGGCTCTAGCACACCACTGGAATGCTCTGAATTCCTAAGAAAGGTTTAATTTGTAAATCAAAGACTTCCCTCCCGCAGAACAGAAGCCAGTTTGTCTTGAAGTAAGTGGCTTCAGTGAAGTGACTCTGAACAAAAAAATGTCTCCAGATGGCTGTGGTGGAACACCATCTGAGCACCATTATCGGGGAGATTATTCAATTTGCATCCTGACAATATCCGTGCATGTTTGGCATGCTGAAAATCAGCTGACAAATAACGCCTTGCTGTTGGGATCTGAGAACATCTCAAGTCAGGGGGTCTCCCCCAGCCAAAAGCCTGAGGGTGGAAGGGCAGCATCCCCAGGGCAGGGTGCAGGGCACACCCTGGGCATTCCCTTGGGCAGGCAGGTTCAGCCCTGGGCTGAGCTGGGACCCTGCAAAGCACTCAGGAAAATCCTTTAACGCTTTAATTTAACCAGGGCCCTGCCCAGAGTGCCAGGGCTGCAGCAGTGCAGCAATGGGGCTCTGAGGGAAGGGCAGTGACCCGAGCTGGGCTGGGAACAGCAACTGCTGCTCACCACTGACAGACCGGGCTGGAGAGGAGGCTGCAGCTCCTGCTGGACCAGAGCAGAGAACAGAGAACCAGAGCAGGGGAGGGGACACAGCTGGGCTGGCTGACAGTGACCCTTGACACCCCTGTCCCAGTCCCAGACACCTCTGACCTCCCAGTCTGTCCCCAGGCTGTCCCCAGCCCGTCCTGACCTGAGGGCAGCAGCGTGGTAGGTGTCCACGTAGTCAGAGATGAAGAGCTCACGGTTCTTGATCACCGGGTCTGTGATCACCAGCTCCCGTCCAGAATCTGCCCAAGAGAAAAGCACAAAGAGCTTTTGCCACACCCTGACCCAGCTGGGACAGCACTGCCACTGCAGCGGCCCTGGCAGGTCACAGCTCAGGATGTCCCCAGGTGCACGCTCAGAGCTCACCAACACGCTCCTCCTGCGCTCAGGAAGGGCTGGCAAGTGAGAATTAATGTGTAAGAACATCCCATCTATTCCTACCCATCAATCCTCCCACGACTTCTGAAGGGAAAAAGCTTTTAGGGGCACAGGGTGACACGTGTGGACCTCTGGGAGCAGTCACTCCCAGGTGAAAGGAGCCAAGGGAATTCATCTGTTCTGCTTTCCAGGACAAGGTATTGGTTCCTGTGCATATTTAATGTCAAACCTTCAACAAAATCCTGACAGTGGTAACTGTGCAGTGCTCTGGCTTTGAGGTAAATATTGATATTCATGTTCAAACACAGAAAATTCTGAGTGTTAACAAAGAACTGGAAGACAACTTCTTCCGTGACTTCTTTCTAATACCTCTGAGGAAGACACAAAAATACTTCTCCACACACAGGAGACTGCACAAAAAAGCAGCCATGCTATCAAAATACTTTTTGACACTGTGCCTGTAATCTCATTGTTAGAAGTTTCAAATAAATTAGTAACAGGAATGTTCTATTTGTGGAGCTTTTGCTAAAAGCACACACAGAATGTCCTTTAAAAGGGGAATGTGTGCTCAACTTTGTTCTGTCAGGCACCAGAAAGTTGCTGCATTCCATATTTCAATCATCAACTTTTATCATCACGGTTCACCTTGGAGTATCTTCAGAATTTTTAACAGTTGCCTCAAGGAAATTTCCTGGTAGGAACAGAAGCAAATGTTATGTCTTCCCTGGAGGCAGGAGATAAATGACACTGGGGTATGTACTAAAGTTCTTCTGCTTCTATGAAAGCCATGATCACACTTGTTTTTGCAAAGACAAAAGGGGAAACTGCTCCAAGTGCTCCAGTTCCATCCCTCCCTGCAATATTAATCACAGTGAATATTCATGTGTGTAAGCATGACTGTAAAAGACACAGCTCTCATGACTCTGTGGCACAAGCACAAAAACCAGAGGAGATCCCCAGTTTCTGCAGATACTTTGGTGCTCAGCTCATTATCAGTGCAGTGTCCATGAGGACTGCCAAGGATCCTGGGTTAATTTGCTTTTCTATCCTCTCTCAAGGAGAGAATAATTATTATTAATAAATAAATACATTCATAAATACATAAATAAATTATGATGATGACAATAATAGTTGTTATTGTTGATCATGCTATTATTTTTTAGTAATAATACCAGAATTAATTTAACTAATAATTATTAGTAGTAATAATGCCAGAAGCCCAGCACTTCCAGCACACCTGGAATGCTCCAGATTACAGGGACAGGACACAAACCAGTGACACCAGTCAGGTAAGAAACCACCAGCCCTTTCCTAACACCATGTCCTGGTTCCATAACCCTGTGCAGAACTGTTCTGGCTCTGTCACAGCTGGGACTGGGGCAGTTCTGGCTCTGTCACAGCTGGGATTGGGGCAGTTCTGGCTCTGTCACAGCTGGGACTGGGGCACTTCTGGCTCTGTCACAGCTGGGATTTGGGCAGCTCTGGCTCTGTCACAGCTGGGATTTGGGCAGCTCTGGCTCTGTCACAGCTGGGACTGGGGCACTTCTGGCTCTGTCAGAGCTGGGATTGGGGCAGTTCTGGCTCTGTCACAGCTGGGATTGGGGCAGTTCTGGCTCTGTCACAGCTGGGATTGGGGCAGTTCTGGCTCTGTCACAGCTGGGATTGGGGCAGTTCTGGCTCTGTCAGAGCTGGAATTAGGGCAGTTTTGGCTCTATTAGAGCTGGAACTAAGGCACAGCAGGGCTCTGAGAGCCCACTCACCGTTCTCATTGTGCCTGTCCTGCACCAGGTGCTGGTACACGGAGTCAGGCACCTCGGACTGGCGGTAGTACCACTTCACATTCATCAGCAGATGGTCCCTCTTGCTCTGAAAAACAACCCCAATGTGTTACTGACAGGGAAATCAGCCCACAGCCCCACTACCCCCACTGGGAAAAAGGCCTGAGAGGTCAGACCCAGAGGGAGGAAGGTGTTTCTCCAGCCTGCACTGGTGACAGGTTGATTTCCAGCCCAGACAAAGGCAGAAGAACCTCCTGCATCACAGTTGTGTCTCTGCATCTGACCAGCAAACCTCAATCAACTCACTCATGTTAATTAACCCAAGGAAAGAGGCAGGGATCAGAAAGGGACTGCAATTTTTGGCATCATGCAGTCTGCTAATTTCCACAAATAAGAAGTATTTATGGCCAAACACGCAAAAAAGAACACCCACAGTAGCACCATTTAGTGCAACCATTCTCAGCACTGGAAACCAAGAGATAATAGATTTTTTTCCCCCCCAAGGACAGATGGGTCCAGACGTAATCATAGACGTTCTTCATTATACAAAAGAATAGGATACTGCACTTCAATCACAATAATTACAGGCTCTGACTGCTCATCAACCTCACAGCAAAATTTACACAAAACTCTCTTCCCCAAATGCTCTTTTTCCCTTGAGGCTCCAGCCACCAATTTGTTCCTTAGAAGGAGCCCAAAGCATAAACACCATTGAAAGAGAATTTTTAGATCAAATCACTGCAGACTCTGCTGAGTTTATCTCTGCAATTCTCCCTGCTGCTCCAAAAGAAGAAGGGGAAGGAAGCAAGTCCTGAAGGGAAAGGAACATTCTTTTGGCATGAGGCAAAGCCCGTTTTCCTCTGGAGCCGCCTGAGATCGCTGCTCAGTCACCGGGCTGCTGCCTCTCCTTCTGCTGCCTCTCCTGTGCTGTTGGAGCTCTTCTGCTGAGTAAACAACATCCAAACCTTGCTGGGAGAAGCCTTTCCCGAGCAGAGCCCGTGTAATACCAGCACACCACTGCCAGTGGCAGCATTGTGCCAGGAAAGCTGGGCCGGAGCCGCTTCCACATCCCCAGAGCCCTGAGCATCCCTGGGCTGATGGAGGAGCCTCAGCCGCTGCCTTTTTAAACAACACATTTGCAATCAAAGCCAACGAGCTTGTCTAATGCATGGGGGGAAAAAAAAAAATCAAAAGGACAACGAGTGAGAGGCGGCTCTGATTTCTGCTGCCTGCTGTTCAAAAATTGGGGTTGCAGAGTCCTCTGTTCTCCTGAAATAATGCTCTGTGCACCACAGCTTTTATGAGCAGCCTCTCTGAATTCTGAAGACAAAAAAGTCCAAGTAAATAATCTGTTACCCTCTCGCTAAGAGTTCAAAAATTCCATTTATTTATTATGGGAAACATCAACCCAGCATTTCTCTGCAATTTCTCTTTGTATTTCTCAGCTGAGAGGACAAAAACCCCACTCTTTTGTTCCACAAACCCGGAGAGGATGCTCAGAGAGCTTCACCCTGGCACAAAACCCACCCACATACACGACCACAGTTTACAACAGGCATCAATGCTCTGATTTTTCAGGGTCTGTGCCTCTGGAGTGTTTGAAATATCAGAACTGCACGGAGCACAGGCACATGGAACCTCGAGAGAGGACTGCAGAACCAGGGGGGATTTGGGGATGGGGGTTTGGAACAGCAAATGGCACCAGGGGAGGACTGGAAATCTGCACTGTGCTCTGCCAGGGAACGTTCCCTGCACACCAAAAATCATCCCAGGGCTGAAGCAGCAGCCACAGCCAAGGAAAGGGGGAGGAAGGCAGGGAATGGGAAGGAATGTCCTTGCAGACCCTGCTAGGAGGGGACAGGTTTGCAGGAGGAGCTCTGGGAGGGCCCAGATTCTGTCAGGGGATCCCTGACATGGGCAAGCAGCGAGGGGATCCCACAAAAACCAGAGCTGGGAGCCACAGCCCAAGGGGGACACGGTGCCACCCCAGCTCACTGCCCCCAGTTCTGGCACAGAACAGCATTTCTGACACTGCAGAGAAGAAATCAGTGCTTCAAAGTGAGTTCTGCTGCTGTAAGGGAGCACCTCACTCTCTCCCACCTCCCAAAGACCCTTTCGGTCCTTCAGGCAGGGAAAGAAGAAGGTTTTGCTGATTGCCACAGCTCCTGGAAGCCCCACTCAAACACCTGGAATAGCAGGGATCACACAAGAGCTTATCAGGAATATTCAGAGGTGAACCCAAGTGCTTCCAGTGTTCTGCAGTGTTTTACCAGCTCATCACTCAGAAATGGGATTGCCCATCAGGGTGGGACTGACAGGGCACAGCAAAGATCGAAGGGGCTTCCCTAACATCCAGAAATGGCTTTTCTTCCACCTCAGAAAACTAAAATGTGTCTTTTAAAGCTATGGAGAAAACACATGAAGAGTTATAACCAAAACAGGTGATAAAACCAGAACACAACCCATGGTCTGCACCCACTTCCCAGGCTTTTAACTAACACCTAAATTCTAGCACAGAGGCATTTTAAGTGATTCAGAAATGAGAAGATAAACGGGGCCAATGTAAATATCAGAACAATTCTGCCTCGTGCTGCTGACAGTCCCCATTTGGATCATGGAATGCTGCCAATGGAATGGCTCCGTGCCTCCACACACAGGCCAAGCAGCAACAAAAATATCATTTACAATGAGATGTGCAAGGAGCTGTTCACAGAAAAGCCTGTGGCAATGATGCACTTGGGGCTGCTTGGGTTGTGGGTTTGGGTTTCTTTGGGTTTGGGGTTTTTTTTGGGCAGGGGAGGGATGAGCTGATCTCCTTCCTAAATACTTCTTTTTACCACCACTGGTCATTTTTGTCCAATTCATTCACCAGCTGCGCCCTGACAGCCTCTGTTCTGTGCCCGTTCTCTAACACAAGATGATTTTGTGGGGTTTAACCTGAAGCTTCAATCTTGCTAAAAATACAAAACGTCTGTCAGAGTCTCCCTTTTCACATTTACATCCCTCATGGCACAGAAATTCCTAGACATGCTATTTTGTCAGCCAACTTCCTAAATACGTATGTCATTTAAAAAGCAGACTACACTCAGAGGTGTCAAGGCGCCAACTTCTGTGGCAGACTATTTATTTTTAAACCATGTGCACACAAAAGAAGTGTCCTCTACCTCCTAAAGTGTGAGGTTTTTTTTCCCCCCCTCCTTTTTTTACACCTTTACATCTGAAAAGCTGCAGACAGTCACATGCCAAATCCAGGCTTGCACAAACTGCAGCCATGGCAAGAGCTCTAAATTTCAAGTGTCTTTCTGTCAGCTCGAAATGATTCCCTGTGCTACAAAACCACATTCTCCCCCTTAATGAAAATATTGTCTTTTGCTGCAGCACTCACTAAGTGCTCATTTGGGGATTTTGTTCTCGCTGACATTTTGGGTTTTGTTCCTTTTAAACAGCATGAATCAGTTTTGGACATTGAACAAGAATTAGATGGGATCTGTAAATGGATTAAAGCATCTCAGTTCAGAGGCATCTGGTCAAGCCTCTGCCTTACAGGGGAAAAAATAAATAATGCTGCAAGTTCTCTTTGGAAAGCAGGAATGTCTTGATTTCCACAGCACTTGTGACAATTCCAAGGTGCTGTTTTCCCCAGACCATGCTGCAGGACAGAGTCACTGCACAGCCCAGAGCCTCACGGGTTCCTTCTGCCCAGGAACCTCACAGGTTCTCTGTCCCAGGAACCTCACGGGTTCCTTCTGCCCAGGAACCTCACGGGTTCCTTCTGCCCAGGAACATCACGGGTTCTCTGTCCCAGAACCTCACGGGTTCCCTCTGTCCCAGAACCTCACGGGTTCCTTCTGCCCAGGAACCTCACGGGTTCTCTGTCCCAGAACCTCACGGGTTCTCTGTCCCAGAACCTCACGGGTTCCCTCTGTCCCAGAACCTCACGGGTTCTCTGTCCCAGAACCTCACGGGTTCATTCTGCCCAGGAACCTCACGGGTTCCTTCTGCCAAGGAACCTCACGGGTTCTCTGTCCCAGAACCTCACGGGTTCCTTCTGCCCAGGAACCTCACTGGTTCCCTCTGTCCCAGAACCTCACGGGTTCCTTCTGTCCCAGAACCTCACGGGTTCCCTCTGTCCCAGAACCTCACGGGTTCTCTGTCCCAGAACCTCACGGGTTCCTTCTGCCCCAGGAACCTCACGGGTTCCTTCTGTCCCAGAACCTCACGGGTTCCTTCTGACCCAGGAACCTCACGGGTTCCCTCTGTCCCAGAACCTCACTGGTTCCCTCTGTCCCAGAACCTCACGGGTTCCTTCTGCCCAGGAACCTCACTGGTTCCCTCTGTCTCAGAACCTCGCGGCTTCTCTGTCCCAGAACCTCGCAGGTTCCCTCCCCAGGGCGCTGGGGAACCACACTGCCCCAAGCACCACAGATGTCCTGCAGATCCTCCCACAGGGATTTCAGCACGGCACTCCTCGCCCTATTTAGATGCAGTTAAATCACAACCAGCTCTGGAAACAATGAGCCAAGTGCTGGAGATGACAGATGGGCACGCTGGAGTCAGGGAATAGCAGCAATTCCAGAGAAACAAACAGCAGAACAGGGACAGGGAGCACAACAGCTTCCCTTCCCACCATGAACCCTCTCTCCTGCTGCACAACTGGTTTGTACTCTCAGTCAATTCTGACATTTACTAATAGTCAAAGGAGAGAAAAGGAGAAATAAAGACCACTCAGATTCACTGTGGGGGAAAAAAGGAAAAAAAAACCAACCAGAGGGGGGATAGAAATGAAGCTATCTGGAAATCAGGAGCTGAAGGGATACAGCAGGGATTATTTCTCTTCCCTCTCCACACCAGCACGTGTAATTTCACGTTCTCAGGGTATCTTTTTGTAGGCTGTTTGCTAATTAATTAAGAAAACTGATCAGCTGTTCGTAAGCCAAGCAAACCCAGCCTGGAAATGCAGAGGTTATTACTACAAATGAATGTTATTTTTGCAGCTTGATTATTTAATTCAGACGCCTGCATAGCAACACATAATTACTCCTTGCAAACAGAGCAGCATTGTCAGCGTTCAGCAAGAAACACAAATGT